ATTTAAGTATATAAAATTTGAACACGATAGTATTTCTATTGCTCCAAAGAACCTATATTCCGAAAACGAAAGTTATATCTGAAAATTATAAGATGCTAGAGCACTTTAAAGGCTCAAAATTTACCCCTCTTGCGGAAATTTTGTACGAAGAGCGACTGGTGTTGGGTCTGAATAAGTTTCACAAAAATAAGTTTACAAAAATAATTTTATTGTTGTTGTAACTTGTACAAGCACAAGAAGAAGTAAACTTATTTAATTTAAATAATGTCCAAAACGGTCTAAGCCCCAAATCATGATCTTGTCCAATACTATGTTGATAACACCCTTCAGCGAAAAAAGCAAAACTGCGACCNAATCATTTATTTTTTTTCCTTTAAATGCTCAATATTTGTGGAATTTAAGTATATAAAATTTGAACACGATAGTATTTTTATTGCTCCAAAGAACCTATATTCCGAAAACGAAAGTTATATCTGAAAATTATAAGTTGCTAGAGCACTTTAAAGGCTCAAAATTGACCCCTCTTGCGGAAATTTTGTACGAAGAGCGACTGGTGTTGGGTCTGAATAAGTTTTACAAAAATAATTTTATTGTTGTTGTAACTTGTACAAGCACAAGAAGAAGTAAACTTATTTAATTTAAATAATGTCCAAAAAGGTCTAAGCCCCAAATCATGATCTTGCCCAATACTATGTTGATAACACCCTTCAGCGAAAAAAGCAAAACTGCGACCAATCGACATAGAGAAGCCGTTGGCGAAGATTTCACACTTAGCCAAAACTCTCACTTCATAGCACATATGTATAGCGATTTTGAATGCACTTTTGTTGAGGAGCAAATGTTTGACAAATCTTTAAACACTTACGGGCGTTTTCTCAAGTAACATGTAATTTAAAAGCTCACTTTATATTTAAAGGTTGCATTTATGATTGTGTCTAAAGTAAAACATTTTATTATCCCTTTTAAATTGGTTTACAACCAAGAGACATACATACGTCATGAACCGATAAAAGAAATGCTTAACTTTAGACAAAGCTTTACTTTTAATCCAAACTTCCAATCTAAAAGTTACATCAGAAATGGCCCTTATATCTTTGTGCATTAACATGTCAGTTGAATGAATTAGACTATGTTCAAACAGGCCAATTAGCTGAGGCAATTAAGCTTTAAATTGCGGTATTGAGTTTGGTGTTCACACACACGTCAGCTGCCCAGTTAGCGATACGAAATCAGCTGTTGGATTACCTACAGTGATGGAAAAGTTGTTACAATCGTACCTTTATTTAGTTTGAAAGTACATTCGGTACAAACACACAATTTTAGGTACATGTGGAACGTAGCCAAATNTCGTTAAACACTTACGGGCGTTTTCTCAAGTAACCTGTAATTTAAAAGCTCACTTTATATTTTAGGTTGCATTTATGATTGTGTCTAAGGTAAAACATTTTATTATCCCTTTTAAATTGGTTTACAACCAAGAAACATACATACGTCATGAACCGATAAAAGAAATGCTTAACTTTAGACAAAGCTTTACTTTTAATTCAAACTTCCAATCTAAAAGTTACATCAGAAATGGCCCTTATATCTTTGTGCATTAACATGTCAGTTGAATGAATTAGACTATGTTCAAACAGGCCAATTAGCTGAGGCAATTAAGCTTTAAATTGCGGTATTGAGTTTGGTGTTCACACACACGTCAGCTGCCCAGTTAGCGATACGAAATCAGCTGTTGGATTACCTACAGTGATGGAAAAGTTGTTACAATCGTACCTTTATTTAGTTTGAAAGTACATTCGGTACAAACACACAATTTTAGGTACATGTGGAACGTAGCCAAATAGCTTCTCAGGAAATTAGTTCTTATTTTTGTTGACTTTTCAATACATTTTCTGGTGCGGGCAACTGGTCTAATAGCTTCCCTCCTTTGTGAAGAGGCATACAAATGATACAGAAGGGTGGTGAAAGTAACGCAACTGTAGTTGATTTCGCCAGATAGATGCAAAATATTTCTTTTTAAAACGTCAGATCGAACAACTACACTGAGGGAAAAAAATATTAAAATCAAATAGAAACGTAATTGATCTTATTATAAACGTCAACGAAAGTACTGTATATTNCAAGCATGTTCTGAAATTCGAAAATTTTAAATCGACTCGATTTCGATAATTTTTTCGATGGTTTTTAACCAAAAAATTTACAAGTCTCGCATTAAAATGATTTATTTCATATCGCTGCTGCTTTTTTTACGGTTTTCAAGTAGAATATTCTCTCTTTTCATCAGATATAATTAAAAACTATTTGGCAATTCGAGTCGATTTCAAAGTTTCGAATTTCAGAACATGCCCGATAGTCTTGTCTCGCGATGCTCCAAGAGATTCTTTTCATATCCAAAAGTTTGTTTAATAATAATAATAATAATATCCCAACGGTTTTTACCCTCCATTCCCGCCCATCCGCACGAGGGGCGCAGTCCGCATGACGTACGGAACCAATATTTTAAATTTTTTGTGCCGAGTCACGATAGGCAGGAGTTTGTTAAGTGTCGAGATCTAAAACTGTTCAGCTACAGAACTAAATTCATCAGCTGATTTTATGTATTTATGTCAATAATTCACTTATTGAGAGAGGAGAGTATCGCTTTCTTAATGCTGAAAAGCGGATCTGATATATCAAACGTGCTGGAATGAGAGTTAAAATCCTGGCATAAGCAACGGAGTGGGTCGTGCAATTCAAAATTGGTTTTACAAGCTTTCAGAAATATGGGACAAAAGTGTCTTGATACGCGTGAGGGAACATTAAAGCTTACATCAGCCAGAAGAGACGGACTTGAAATTGAGCCTGTCAGTAATTTAGCCATAAAAATTATACCAAGCATTTCCCTGCGACAGGCAAGTGAGTAATGTGAGTACAGAAGTTGATATGGCATCGATGGGAATTGTTACCTCCTATTTTTCTTTATATATAAATACATATTTACTTTTTAGGTACATCTATCTACTTTTAAAGTTTCCGTAAATTAGGTGCAATTTTATAATTAAATTTCCCATCCCTGATGGAATATCAGGTGTAAAAGAAGACCAGAAACAAACAGCTGAGTACTCTTTATTCAATAAACATACCTCCAAGTCAAAATTAAACATACCTAGCAGGGTTGCATAGAGAATCTGACGCAAATTGATTGCCAATTAATTATTAATTAATTTTTGAATTAACAATTTGAGTTTTCGTATGATAAATTGTGTAACAATTAAGGCCTAAATTGGTTAACAGGTTCGTAATTGCCAATAAGGTGCCTGGTTGAACATACTTAGTCTTACACAACTCAGATTTTATCATACAAGAAGCCATTTGTCAGGAAATTTCGCCAAGGCTGATAAGTGTACCGAGTGTGGTAGCAATTGATAGACCGGTTACTAAGATGCACATATGTATGTATGTATGTAGGTGGTGCCACGTCCATTTTCCAAAAAATTCTCTTAATATTATTTTTTGCTAATTTATCGCAGTTTTCGAATTTCTGTAAATTACCGTTATATGGGGAGTGGGCATGATTCTTGTCTGAATTCAAAAACTCTAAGCAAGGTTTGCACCGAGTGTGGTGTGGATAGCTAAAGGGACTACAGAGATATAGCATTTCATCTTAAGTTTTCAGTGCAACGCCCATTTTCAAAAAATTTCATAACTGTCTTATTTTATGCCAAAGTTATACTTCAAACTCCAAGTTTTTGCACTTTTTAAAATGTATGGATACCAGGATAAAGTGCAACCTACTTACCAAAT